AGATATATACAAATATACAAGTAAGCAAATATATAGCAAACACAAATATAAATAAGATGGGCTTAACCCTCTTAGGAGAGGTCCCAGTGAAGTCGCCATTTCTGTTGCGGTGAGAATAAGATATCAAGTTATTAATTAACTTGAATCACAAATCATGAAGTTCACCACCGAGCTTTGATTTATCCAAAAGAAAGGGTAAAGATCGAAGAAAACCCTAAGTGCGCCATGTAACAACACAACTAAGAGATCTAAGGTTCGGGGGTTGGTTATACCTAGGGAAGGTGTTAGCATCCTAAGTATCTGTAGTACTTTATAGGAACCTCTTGTTAGTATTTGTGTTACGCTAAAGTTGCTTGCTAAGGGAAAAGTGCTAAGGTAAAGATCTAAAGTATATACAAAGTATGTACAAAGTTTGCTTGCCAAGACATCATATCTCGTGCCTATGTATCCTGACGGGAATGGAATCAGAGCAACCTTAGTTCCCCTAACTAGGGGTGAGGAACTCTTGACTGTGGTCAAGGTTCCAAAGGGAAAGGTAAATGTCTGCGGTGAGACACCTACATAGAGTGCGGCGACTCTAAACTAAAGGTTATGTTAAACGGGAAAAGAAATATCCACGGCGGAACGACAAAATAGATCACATCGACTCCAAGTCCTATGGTTAGGATAAAGGGTAAGGACCTAAGGTTAGGCTAAAAATGACATGGCAGTCAACAGAGGGAACTCTTTCCTTTGAAATGCATAAACAATCAAATAAATTGAAAAAACCAAAAGGGAAACGACGTCAAGGATCGGGAATTAAACACAACAAAAAACAACAAGAATTAGATCAAACAAAGACTAATGAAAAATGGAAATGAGAGAGGGTGGTGTTAATGTAGAGAAAGGTTGGCAGCTTGTGAAGAGAATAATGTGGTTGTTCTATCATAAAGCAAGTATATCAATTTTTGTTTCTTATGAAGAGAGGCAAAATAAAATAAAAAGTGGTATGTATCATGAAGTGGATGGAGATGAAGTTCAAGAGAGAGTGAAAGTTATAGCGCATGAGGGTGATATCTCTCCTCCCTCTGCTGCTAGCCTGTCCTCGTTTCTTTTATGTAGGTTTATTTCTTCGTGTAGGTAGTGTGTATGTGTTGTACATTTTTCATATGCAGGCTTTTAAATTTCCATAAGAGTGAAGTATCCAAAGCAGGTGGTCCTCATGCAATGCAGTATCAGATTTTTATGAAGAAAAATAGTGAAACAACTTTTCAACACTTAGAGGCTAAGTGTTACTAAAAGGAGGAAACAAACAAATTTATATTATTTTTTAAAAAGAAAATCTGATAAATAAATTAAAAATAAAATTAATTATTTAAATGAATCTAATAATAAATAAATAAAAGATTATTAATAAAAATGAATAAAGAAATAAAGCGGTAAAAATGAGTAATTGATCCGGTATCAAAGTGCTTAGAAAAATGAAACGAATACGCTAAAATGATTAGCGCGAAATATACATATTGGAAAAAATACAACATTATGTCAAATTTCAAAATAAATTTTATCCACTAAAATAGTTTAAACTGTCCAAAGTACGATAGAAAGAACAGTCGAAAAATTCAAACGAGCACGCTAGATTAAACTACGCGAAATATAGATTAATATCACTGACGTTTGTAGGCTCAATTTTAAAATTCGATGTCCACTGATTTTACGCACAGTTGACCTTTGGTTTGACCGATTCGGCTGTAATTCCAACAAGTTTATTTCAGCTGATAAATGGGCAGTACGCGAAAAATGAATAACCTAAAATGATATGAAAAAGATAAAAGAATCTAAGGATAAAATTTAGGGTATGACAACAAGTAACCTTTAGATAGTAACACCTATCCATGCAAAGAACAAGAAAAATGGTTTTACGACAGATATAAGGGATGCTAATACCTCCCCCCTCGCATAACCGACTCCCTTACCCGTTACTCTTTTCCTTGAGTTTTATAGATATTTTTCTCTTTCCTTTTGGAATAAATAAAGTTTGGTGGCAAATCTTGTTGTATCATCAAGCGTGCGATGCGCTTCGCAACGCGACACTTTCATACGTAATTAAATGTTTGAAAGGTCGTTTAAAATTTTGAAACAAATATTTGTTTGGCATTCTTGATTTAGAAGTGGAAATTCCTATGGATTCTCTTTAGAAGTTGGATTCTTAAAAAACTCTTATATTTTCTGAAACTCTTTGAGCGAAGCAACAGAGGAGGCGATATCCAAAGTTTCTTTCAGGGACAGTATTCTTCATCAAAAATTGAGGTACAAATGGATTAGGGAAAGGTATGCCAACTCCCGTTTTTTCATAAGTGTATGAAGTATAGGTTTAAAAAGAACATAATTTCGGCGATGCAAATTAGGGGTGTGCAAAATAACCAATAACCATAAACCAAATTCCTATTCAAATTAATTCAAATTTTAAAATCCAAACCAAATTTATATTTTAAATTTGGTGGCCCATTTATCAAATTAAAAAAAACCCGATAACTATTTGTTCCAAACCGGTTTGAGATTTGGTAACCATTTTTAATAAATAGTTTGAAAAAATCAAAATCAACACAAATTTCAAAAACCTTAATCCTCACCATCCAAATTTTATTCATCTCTTTCTTCTTCATCATTATTTAAATTTCAAACTTTAATCTCATTTGTATCTTAATTCTCTAAAACACAATCATGGGTTTATCGAAACTTTTTTTTGTTTATGTTTGTTTAAAACTTATACTACCTGAAACATCATATGCTTTTGTTATCAATGTTGAACCATCATATGTCTTTTCTGCTTAGAACTTATACTACCTTATTTCTTTCAAGCTAGCTGATTGTGCTAAACAATAGAGCTGAATCAAATTCAAGTCATATATCAATATAAGAGCTTTTTGTACTAGGTAGTATTTGTTCTTATTTTAATAATGAATTATGACTTATGATTAAAGAGAATATACTGCAATTTTTTACATTTTATGATGTTCATATGCATTCACATTTATAATAATATAGGCCTCACTAACAAGATAAATACCGCCACATGATGAATTTTGTATAAGGTTAACCTTTGACAGAATACTGATTGTCTCAATAAAATAACCTCTCCACAAGTTACATGGGAAATAAATATTTCTTTGTTAATGAAATTTGTTTATATAGTAATATTTCTTTGTTAATGAAATTTGCTAAAGAAAATAAAAAAACTGATTTTGAGAGAAACCGGTTTAAAACTGATTTTTAAAAAAACTGTTTTTTTTTTTAAAAACCGGTTTGAAACCAAACCGATCCACTTGTAAATCGGTTTTAAAAATATAAACCGGTTTTATATACATGATTTTAAGATCCAAACCAAACCATATATGTGATTTGGTTTGGTTTATAATCCATGCACACCCCTAATGCAAACAGATTCAGGTTGAAAGGAGAGTGTGGATGATTTCAGAAAGGAAATTCATCATCATTTTCATTCTGTCTTCTATCAACCGGTTCTTAAGAGGCCATTTTTTGAAGGTATGGATTTTAAGAAGTTAAGTGAGGGGGAAAGACTGATGCTCAAAGAAACTTTTAGTGAAGATGATGTTAAAGATGATGATTCCATCCCTGGCCTGGATGGATTTGGTTTTTGTTTTTTCAAATGTTTCTAGGAGATTATTAAAGCGGATATCATGAGATTCATCAATCATTTCCATTTGAAGGCCACTCTTCCCAAAGCTGTTACCTCTTCTTTTCTCACTTTGATTTCTTCAAAGCTGTTACCTCTTCGTTTCTCACTTTGATTTCTTCAAAGCTGTTACCTTCCTATTTATCATTTTTATTTCTTCAAAGTTCCAAAGAGTATCATTAAAGAAATATAATAAGAATTCAAAGAGAGATTTGTTTGGTGTAAAGACTTACTCAACATGATGGTAATTGGTTTGCAAATTCTATTCGTTGCAAACTTGGTAATGGAAAGAATTTGGGTTTTTGGACTTCCATGTGGGTAGGATCCCGACCTCTTTGTAGTCTCTTTCAGAAAGCTTTTGAAAATTGAGTTAATTGTTCGACAAAAGTAGCGAATATGGGAGATTGGTTTCAAGGAGTGTGGTGCTGGAACTTTGGGAGTGTGGCTGCCATGCAACTTTCGGAGGTAGCAGTTATAACGACCGAATTCTTGCCGTCGTTAGACAATGCAGATGAGTTCATTTGGTGGAAATGACTTCGGTGTTCATAACATTTATTCTGAATTGTTATTGAAACATTTGAATTTGTAAGAATAATGTGACTTTTGAACAAGGATAGATATAAGACTGAGACATATTTTTCAGAATTGTTATTTTCGATTCTCTTTAGTTGAAGGCTGTTTTTTCCTTCTTCTTACTTTCTTTTGGATTTCACGTTTTGTTTTTATTTTTGTATTGAGGGTTGAATATCTCTTATACTCCTGTTAATATAATTGATGGCTTATAATTTTTTTTAATATATTGGAATGCCATATTCATATTCTTAGTTATAATTTGTTGTCTCTGGATTAATTAATTTTTTAATTTATAATATATTCTACTAGGTCTTGTTATATTTTATTAGTATAAGGTATGTATTGATAAACAAGAGTATCCTTTGGTAATAATAGCAATAATAGAATAATAACAGTACTACCAAATTCCAACAACTTTACAGATAAGGAGTATGCTATGGTACTTTCTCTCTCTCAAAGTCAATGAATGACCTATGAATGAGGCTCCATATTGATTCCTTTTCCAACCCCCAAATATTCCTCCTGTCATCTAATCACACCCTCAATTAGGAATCACATTTCTCAATTGCATTCATCACTTCGATTTTTCCACTTTGATTTCATCAATTGGGTCAAAAGGGCCATTTTTTTTTGTAATTTTTTTATTGGGAACTATTGTTGATAAAAAAAATATGATTTTTTAGATCGATTTGTTGATGGGTCATGCTGAAACATTGTTGTAATTGAAATTTTTTGTTAATTTTCTTGTAAAATGGAGGATCAAGTTTTTTTAGGTTATGAACCATTTGTTAATGTTGGAAGAGATGATGAAGAAGAAGATGAGTTTTGCAGTTGTTGTGAAGATGAAGAAGAAAGAGAACAACAACAACAAGATGATGAAGAATGGAAAGAAACGGAGGAAACGGTGGTGGAAGGGTTGAAGGAAGAGCTTGATGAATTTTCAGTAAGAATGTACTTTAAGGGTTTGTCAATAACTGGGGTTGAAAATTCAACTACAGGGTTTTCTGGAATTGGGGTGTTTATGGAAAGATCATTGAATTTTTCTCCTATAAGGGTGCAGAAAAGGCTTGATTTTTATGCTGAGGAGCCTATGGTTGATTACTTGGCACTCATGGATGGTTTGTTGGAAGCTTTGCAGAACAAGATCCGTAGGGTTTATGCGTTCACAGATTCTGAATTGTTGTATAAGGTTAGTGGTTCAGTTATTAATCCTAACATTTCTTTGTTTTCTGACATTTATAATATAGTACATATGTTTATGAAGATCCTGACGAACCCTAGATTGGCAAAATTGAATAGTTGTGCTTAAATTTATAGTTTAGCATGGACCCCTATATGGATAAACACCTTAATTAATTGCTTAAAGCATAAATGTTTGCTTATCATATAAGTGCTTGTATAGAATTTTTTTTTTTTTAGCAAAAAGGATGCTAATGTATAAGTTATTTCATGAGCTTATAGAAACCAGTTGAAACCGACTGATGGCAATGTAATAAGTTGTTTTCATAATGGTCTCACAAGTGTTTAAGCCAACAAGTAAGCTCAAATAAGCCAATCCAAATAAGCTGGTATGTTTGTTTGTGGAGTATTTCCTTGTTTTTTTTGGCCACCGATTGTTTAGGTATGCTTCTCGGTGTTCATGTTTTACTATTGTGGATGAACACTGAGGTAAGCATAATAATATTTTCTATTGCTTACTCTAAAGTTCTGTGCAATTCTTTGGCATTCTTAAACATGATATGATGCTTTCATTTCAGAATTTTTATTTTCGTATTGCATCTAGTGTGTACATTATTTACTTCTCATTTCCCCCATTGTTAAGTTTCTTTAGTTTGCATACAATTTTTTTAGAGGTTTGTTTTCTAGAAGCCATGCTATAACTCAATTTGTATATCCCATTGCTATTTCTTATAAAAGTTGGGAGTTTTCTTGACATTAATCAACATTGCATTGACATGTGCCACTAACCTCTATTAACTCTTAGCTGCGTATTTGAGTGTGTTTTTAGTAGGTCACCTGTATTTAACTATGTTTTGTTTGAATGTGGGTCTTTTGACAGACGACATTTGAGAAAAATTTGGACATGCCGCTTTTGATGGCACTGAAAGAAAGGATTCTGGAACATGCAAATAATTTTGAAACTTTTGATCTGAAGCTTATACCAAGCACTGATCTTGAGCAGCCACTGCAGTTAGCCAAAGTAGCTATGGGACTTGTCACTTTTCCGGTAAACGAAAAAACATCACTTGAGAATTGTTCTATTTGTTGCGATGACAAGCCAGTGCCAATGATGATTACCTTGAAATGTTCACACACTTTCTGTTCACATTGCTTGAGGTCCTATGCTGACGGTAAACTGCAATGTTGTCAAGTCCCTATAAGATGTCCTCAACCAGGATGCAGATATTGTATCTCAGCACCCGAGTGCAAGATTTTTCTTCCATTCACCTCCTTTGAATCTCTCGAGAAAGCCCTTTCAGAAGCAAATATTGGTCAGTCAGAAAGATTTTATTGTCCGTTTCCGAATTGCTCAGTTCTCCTTGATCCTTGCGAGTGTTTGTCGGCAATGGATGGTTCATCTAGTCAGTCAGACAATTCTTGTATTGAGTGTCCTGTTTGTCAGAGGTTTATCTGTGTGGATTGCGGCGTTCCTTGGCATTCTTCCATGAGCTGTGAAGAATACCAGCATTTGCCAGAGGAGGAGAGAGATGCTTCTGACATTAGCTTGCATCGTCTTGCCCAGAATAAAAGGTGGAAGCGTTGTCAACAGTGTCGTAGAATGATTGAGCTTACTCAAGGTTGTTACCACATGACATGCTGGTAAGCTACAACTTCTCTTTATATGAAAATAAAAACAAATTTTGATTCATTTTATAAGCATTTCGCTAACCCTATACACATACTCACTCTTCCAAAAATGCATCCCTAGCACCTCCCCGCGCCTCCTTGCTACATAGGAAGTTAATTATTTCCCCATATCTCCCCTAAATCTGATCAGGAGCATCACACTTCATACTTTGGTTAGATGAATGCTTCTTATTGGGCCTCTTTCATAAGCCTTAGTTATTTTGGGCTTTGGGCTAGCGTCAATTTTTTGTTTGAGAATTAGAACACTTGAAATTTGTAATTGTTTAGAATTTGGGTTGTGCTTTACTCAACCATACAAAAACCAGTTTGTAAGGTAAGGGATGCTTGTCTCCTACTTATAAACACATTTTCAGGTCATATTTCATCCAATATGGGACTCTCAACACACACCCCTTATCCTTGGGAGTTAGGACTAGGCATTTGGAGCGTGACCTGGGTGGTATCTTGAATAAGCTTTGGTAGAGTGAGCTAACGCTTAGAATTTGAATTGTACCTAACTCACTCTACTGAATTATCTTTCAAGGTGAGGGATGTCTCCCACCACTTATATAAACACATTTTAAGGTCACATCTCTTCCAATGTGGAACTCACAAGTCTCAACAGTAACCATAATACAAATAAAAACTCTTGCGTATTTCTAGATGACGATATTATATTTGGACAAAGCAAATGATTTTTTTAAATTTTTTTTAAATTTTTTGTAAATTACTACTGCAACCCTCCTGATTTAGAAATGGATGTATATGTGTGTAAAAGAGTGTGTGAGAGAGAAATTGGTTACTGATATAGATCATATTCATCTGGATTCCCTTGCCGTGTTTGTAAGTTCAGACCTTAATATCTATTTCAGATTGCTGTGCCTGTACTCAATGTAATGTATGACCTAATGTTGTAGGTTCAAATTGATTTGGTTCTCTAGGTAACTTGATAGGATATTGGATTTAGACTTTAGCCCAATTGATGTGTTGAATGGGGAAAGTAGTGACGTGGCAAGATTCTGTTAGGAGGGGGGAACAATTATACGAGGGATAGAAGTGAGTGCGGGATAGGAGTGAGTGCTGAGAAATAAATAAGGCTCATTGTTGTTTGTTAGGAGCCATAGGCTCTGGATAGTTTCTGTTTTCATCTTGTAGAGCTCTTGAGCTCATCCTTTTCATTGAATATTTTATAAATTGACTTTCTTGAATTCACGGGTTCTATTGTTGGTCCGACCTGCCGGATCCAAAAAGCTGGCTTGCGCGGAATACCATTGTCCATAACACTGAATTTCTGGATCGTCGTAGTCCAGATGGAGGTACAAGAGGGCCATGAAGAAGATTGAGCTGCCACCATTTGATGGAGATGGTCCGGTGAGCGCGACGAAGACAAAAAAATAACAAAGCTCAAAACACGGGGTTGAAGTCGTAACTGTCGGGATTCCTTCCCTTGAGATGAAGATGAAGCAGTCTAAGAAGGTGCAACATATGGCTATGGCAAGAAAACAGGTATTGAAAGCTTCAAATGTTTGGGTGTCACGCAAATTAGGTGATCCGATTATTGAACCAGAACCCTTGGACACTAATCTGCGCATTGTGGATGGTGAGATCTGCATAGCACCAAACCCAGTGGCTCTGGCACCACCCCAGAAACTGTCACCGGACAACAATTCATTGGTAACAGCTCCTCCAAGACAAGAAACGCTGATCGTCAGTTGTATTGTGACATTCCTTTTGTCATTGTGGGAGGAGATGGTCAGCATATCACCATGGGAGGAGTTGCTGGAGAAACAGCCACCAACACCAAAGCCACCGGACATCGATTTGTTTGTGATGTCCAAAAAGATTCAAATCATACCACTGACAGAGCCACCAAACAGGGAGCAACTTGCGGTAGCGAGGAAAACTCACGCTACATGTGGCTCGACCACCCCCCACCACCATCAAAGCTGTCAGAACCACCAGATGCAGGCTTATGGTATGCAGTCCCTGCACTACACATGCGGGCAACCTCCTTTCGGCTAGGAGCAATTCCATCTCTGTTAGCAACCCAAGATTTGAACTCCATAAAAACAGCAATATTTGATAGAAAAGGATAAAAATACACGACAGAACAAAACAATAATTTTCATAAGATCCTTTCTAAGGTAATGTGAGTCTATATATATAGAATTCCTATACACAAGGGTAGGAAAAGAATCAATAACAACTGCTCTTAAACAGAAAACAAACTGACAGACAGCTAACAAACAAACCCTACAAGCTAAGGTAACTAACCAACTAACTTCTATATCAACTCTAACTACTTATCCTAACAAACTTAGCTGAGACATTGTATACGCATGCTGAACAGGTATATTGCATGGCTGTTGCAATTGGGAAGGTTCTAGGGAAAATAGGAGCCAGAGTAGACAATCTATAATTTAGGCACAATCCTGCACCTAATGGGCCAGACCCAAATAAAATGGGTTATGATATTTGTGAAGGAGAATCTGGCTTTGTTGTAGCTGAAACCCAATGTGAGGTTTATTTCCATCACTACCTTGTGAAGGTTCGGATGGTGGAAATGTGAGAGCTGTCCATAACTGCCAAACTCAACTCTACAGAGTGTACATTTTCTAATTCAGAATTAGAAAAAGTTGATTGGATGCCTTTTTCTTACAAGCTACAATCAATGCAATTGTTTAATATGGATGCATTTTTCTAATTCAAATAGTAAGTCCTCCTGGTTTGTTTGGGGTCTGAATGTCTGTATCCAAAGCCACATGCACATGTGAAATCACTAGAAAATGCTTCTGCCTTTTATATAGAAAAAAAATGGCAGAAGAGAAAACTGAAGTTAAGGAATCAGAGTTTTTGCAGAAAATAGGGAAAGTTGTTTAAATATGTTTGGTCATTATGCTTCCAACGGTGGGATCCTAGGGGCCAGAACTTGATTTGCAATTATTACAGTAGAGAGGGTTCTTGAACAGTTCAAATACATCGGTTGTTTTTCTGAAACAAACTGCTTATGCCTAAATTCCTTGATCCCTTGCAATGTTCATGCCACGGTCATGCCACCAACTGCTGAGTGATAAGATGTATTCAACATGTCTGTGTCCTTGTCTTAACTTTGAGGATAGACTGTTTTGCATAGTGTTGGAATTTCCGCCTTAATTGTGGTCCGCCTCTAGCCGCCTTAATTACGGCATTTGGCTTGCCTTCATTGCAGCCCCAACACCTTCACTGTGTTGGATTTGAGGGGGATCGATTTAGTCTGACATTGCTTAGAGATATGGTCTGTGTTATGTTTATAAGTGGGGACAATCCTCATTCTACAAGCCGGTTCAAAGCCGGTTTTGTAGGGATGAGTTAGGGCCAACCTACTTATTCTGAGATGGTATTAGAGTCTATCCTAGATCTATTGTTGGGCTTCCTGCATCGTCCACGCTTCGGGCTCATTGAGTCCGAAGCGTGAGGGGGGTGTTGGAATTTCCGCCTTAATTGCAGTCCGCCTCTAGCCACCTTACTTGCGGCATTTGACTTGTCTTCATTGCAGCCCCAACACCTTCATTCATTGTGTTGGATTTGAGGGGGTGGATTTAGTCCCACATTGTTTAGAGATATGATCTTAGTCGTGTTTATAAGTGGGGGCAATCCTCACCCTACAAGTTGGTTCAAACCGGTTTTGTAGGGATGAGTTAGGCCCATTCTACGTATTCTGAGATAGTTCTTGCTTAGGGTGGAAAATAAGATAATATAATGTTGAAAGTGCTTTAATGAATATAATCAATACTGCCATTCATTACCAGCAACGAGTGTTTGTCATTTGCATGTTGATAACTTGGTAAGTTCCAAGGTTACGAGTGTTTGTCATTTGCATGTTGATAACTTGGTAAGTTCCAAGGTTAAAGTATGTTGTATGATTGATAATGATATGATGGTTTTTGAGTAGTTTCGAAGTCTATGTCAGATTTCCGTTAGTATAAATAAACAGTTAAATTGTGTCATAATAGTTTTGATTTCATGTGTCTATATTTCAGGTGTGGTCACGAATTCTGCTATTCTTGTGGCGCAGAATACAGGAATGGCCAACAAACATGTCAATGTGCATTTTGGGATGAAGACAGCTTGACAAACTCCCTTCAAGAATCAGAACAATGGGCATGGGAGACTTCTATGATCATGGATGCATACTCAGATCAAGAACGGTCACAACTCGCGCTTATACAACGGTTCCTCGACGGCGGTTTTAGTCTCAGTGACCATAATCCCTACCAATCTCCTCCTCCTCCTCCTCAATGTACAGAATCCTTTGTAGACCCCTTGAAGGATCTTCATCAACTTCCATGGCTAGAGAGATTTGTTTCTGTGATAAGTGACAACTACTATGAAGATTACATGCAATAAAACTCTTCATCATCATACAATGCATGTCTCGATTGTCGGTGAATTTGGCTGAATCACACTTTTACCATGATTTTAGTAAAAGCTACATTTTTGCGCTTCAACAAAATTGAATGCATTGCTGTAATTTTGACAAAATCATGGTGTCAATGTGATTTTGTCAAACTCATTGACAATACAAACATGCAAATAGTTAGTTCATCAACTTTATACAATCACATGTAGAAAGTTTATGCCAACACTTATCATGTGTAGTAATCATGTCATGTGATTTCTTTTATGTTCTCCACTTTGATATCTTTGACCTAAGGTTCATGGATATTACATTAAAGTGAACAATCTGTGTTCATGATGACTCTCTTTAGAGAAAGTAAAAGAAGAAAAAAAGGAACATTGGAAAAGAAACTAGATTGTTTGTGGTTTGGCAATAATACATGTTAATCAATTGAAAGAAATTCATTATTTTGTTTTTCACCTTCTAATAATGCCTCTAAGTGTAAGTATGCTTACTATTAAGAGCAATTTTAAGACAATTTTAATTTATGAAACTAATTTAAGTTATTATCAATTATTAAAATAAGTTACTTTTTTCCACTATCATTGACTGGTAACAAATTGACCAGCTACTTACAGGGATGACATTTTAAGTGTTTTTGGTTATTTTTTTTATTAGGAGAATCACAATAATAGGATACGTCTTTTTGGTTAATTTTTTTTTGGGAGAATCATATCACTAGGTTACACCTTTTAGGACTAATGACTTTAAGTTATGTTTAATATTTCTAACTTGAAAATATTTAAATGCTTACTGATTTTAGAGATACATCTTCGGATGCAACTTAAAAGATTAAATGATTCAGAGATGTATTTCCGTAATATTTTAAAAGTCATACATCGTGAATTAATCTTGAAGACATTTTACACGTTTATTATTCAAAAGACGTATTTTTGTTTATTTTACGGAGATGCATCTCCGTAACATGTTAGAACCGTGCATGCTATGTTTTCTTCAGGTTTATTCAGATGAGAATTTATAAATGTTATGTACAATATTATGTGACGAGATATAAACCATACATTTGATATACAAAAATAACGTATACAAATCCAGATGGTCCAAAAATGACATATATAAATAAAGTCTAAACACACGCTAAAGTAGCATGAATTGAAAATAAAATACAATCCATAATGAATCCAAAGTACAAATACTACATACTACTGCACTATTGTGTATGTCGGACTACATCTCCTCCGTCTCCTCTGACTCCTTTGGCTCTCCGGGCTCCTCGGCCTCCACTACCCCCGTCCTCCGGCGATGTCTCCAGTACATCAATGTCCCCTATACTCCGACGCTGTCTCCGGTACATCAATGCTCCCTGTGCCTCCGTCATGATGACATCTAGAATCTACGTCACATCAGATCCATCAGGCAAGATACCTCTGTCAATGTCTGCCTGCGCAATCTCCACTATGCGACGACATTAAGGCAAGACATCCTTATCATGATCTAACTGTGCCTGCTCCTCCTATAGTATCTCCTGATGAGATGACCTCGATGGATCTCCTAGAGCAGCCTGCATCATATACTTATGTGACACCCTGAAAAACCACCTGATGTACCCGTCAATGTAGCTCAAGTCGCTCTCAGATGCTTCGTGTCTCCTCCGGTACCATATGACTCTCATAATCATCAAACATGGTATCCATCTATCTACCTGTCAAAGTAGGAGGAACAGAGACAACAAGGTGTCTGGGAGTGGTCTGAGTGTAGCCGAACTCCCGCATCACACACTCAGGAAGATTAGGAGCAATGAGACGTGATCCACAAGCCGACCATCTTGATTATAACAATATCTTGTCAAATGGATGTGTCTCACGGTGATCCACATAGCTGTTGAAGAGCACGTACTCGACAACCAAGCGGTCAAGATACATTTTGAACATCTCTATTGCCCGGTTCTCTATGAGCAAGGCAAACGCAATAGCATGTGACATATCCTAAGTGTAAGCCGATACGCCAGCCGAGCCAGAGATGCGCGAGAAATTGTAGAGGATCCAAGCGTGAAAAGTGTTGGAACAAAAGCATTATCAGTAATGGCGTTGCAAAGATACAATGAAAATGACACATAAGTATTAAAAGACCAATAAATATTACCGTCAGTAGTGTGATGCTGCTTGTGACCTGCTTTGTCTTCCACCTACACCCCTCTGATAACTTCGAGTACAAGTAGACCAAACAAGCAACCCTCCAATTGTACTCATGGATCTGCTTGAAATCCTCATAGTAACATAGGTAGACGACATTTGTATAAGTGGCACTCTTGTCCATAAGAATTACAATGCCAACGAAATATATCATATATGCTTTCATAGAATACGCTATATGGAGCCCCACTTGCTCATCATTGCCTCTAGCCTGCTCAACTCTATGGAGCTCATATGTATATACCTTTTTGAGAAATTTAAAACTAGCATAAGCCCCCTGGTTCTATCCATCTCTGTCATCGCATTCGCTGGGTCAACTCCCAAATAGTCTACCATCGTCTCGAGTGCCTTGTCTTTTCTAATCCTCCCATGATTTAGAAGTTTCTCCATAATCGAAACATGTAAAAAACACGATACATCGTCGAGTGTGATAAACATCTCACCAAGAGGGAGATGAAATGACGAGGTCTTGATGTGTCATATCTCCGCAAATGCATTAGACATCCCGTGGTTTACTATAATGTAACTGGTCATACACAAGTCCTTCTTTCTAGATAGGGCCAAAGCTGTCTGAAACCACTCCTCATTCGACGGAGGCAAGCTAGTAATCTTCTGCCCATGTTTAATAATCTTCAGCATATCACGTCCCTATAGAAAAATAAATCAATGTCAGAAATTTGTAAATTAAAATAAATGTAAATTAAAAGAATGAATCCAACTAATGCTACCTCTCTGTCCCATATATGTCTTGACAGTATGGTATGGGTACATAGGCAGTAGTGACAACTCTATAGAGCCTCTTCCAAATGGCTCTGGCTCAACATCCTTACCATCCGGAGGTGACAATGGCTCAGCAACATCAGCAGTATGAGGTGACACTGGCTCAGAAGCACCATCTGTCGGAGGTGGCTTTGGTGTCTCCGTTACCACCAGTGACTCAGGTACCTTTGGCACCAGAATAGGTGAAACCTGGCGTCTGCGGGAGGATTGAGGGAGTGATGCGTCGGTAGGTGAAACCCGTCTCCCACGGGAAGAAAAAGATGGAAAAGTATGAGCCTTAGAAGTAGATGTCTCTGCATGACCAGACTGAATATGAGCCTCCGAAACCTGACTCTTCTCCCACTGCACTGATGTATGTTGTGCAATCCTCCAATGCCTCAACCTATCGTGTCTATCAGCCATAATGCTTTTAAGTTAAAATAAACTAGACAATTAGTGCAAGCAAGCAACACTACAAAGAAAAAAGCAAAAAATAAAATAGACTGCTAATTGACGGAGATGCATCTCCGGGTAATATGAAACCAAACGTCAAAAAATTTCGGAGATGCATCTCCGGAATTTTCTACAACTCTTTAGTTCATGAATGGAGGCAATGCAGAAATGCAAACCTTAAAATAAATGGTTTGATCATGATTTTCAACAAACAAACGTGTTTTACAACATATATAAACTAGAATTCTTGCATTTCCTACTCATTTAATACCTAAATCATCATTTTCTACTCATTTACATAAAAACTCAAAACTTCAAAACATCAAAACTTACAATTTTTCACTTTGCTTCAATGTTGGATGATGTTTCTGATGTTGATTGAATATCCTTTGAGCTTGGTTGTTTAATTTTGGACTTGGTGATGAATTTTTTTTAGAGAGTTTGAAGAAGTTTTGAGGTTTTTAAAAAATGAGGAAGGAGAAGGGTTTTGGCACAATTTAAACTCCAATACATTCTGGAGATGCATATCTGAAATAAATTTAAAGATGCATCTCTGAGATATTTTAATGTTAACTCAAAATTTGGTGCGTCCGAAGATGCATTTTCAAAATCTGGGGGGATATAAATATTTTCACGCGGTGCCTAAGTAATATATACGGTGCATTAAGACATTTCCAAATATTTTATCAATGAACATAAGTTTACTTACGAGATAATACATTTGAGTTTATGGTGAAGTTGTTAAATTAAGTTTTGTAATGATTATCGAAAGAGTTCATTATGTTAGAACAAGATTTGTTCTTGACATATTCTCTTTTAGTTTTGATGATAACAAAAGTATTAAAAGAACAATGGTTTATTTGATGTGTGTTTTATTTATGCAGGTTCTTGTACATAAATAATCAGAATTTATTTTACTTAGACACACTTGAGAGTTGCTTCAATGCTAGCTTTTGGTAGCAGAGTCTGAAAAAAAATTGCTAGTGTTTGCTTGGTGTAGACTCTAAGCTGAAGGCCTCAACATTCAGACGAGCTACTATACTTGGCAATTGTATATCAACATCTGGTACCATTCAGAGTTGGTGATAAAGCTGTGGATTTTTTGTACTGTAGAAAGCAAGCTATATTGTCTTATCAGCTTGTCAGTTAGAGTCTACAAGATTGCAAGGCTTAAGAAAAGTTGACATGCTCTACGGACGTCTGCTCTCCAACGACTCTATCAGTACAAAACCTCTTCAAGACTCAAAGGTTAAACATATTACATACTAAATTCAGAATCTGCCGTGCATCCATCTTCAACGTCTCTTATACTATAGAGTAAAAGCAAAGACACTTAATGAAGTTACTTCCTCAATGACTAGTTTCTAGAAAGGCTATATATATGACTAAAGATTCAAGTTTGAATCTTAACAAGGATTCTTATAATGAAGGAGTAGCAAGATCAAGAAATTATCAACTCTAATATAATATGCAAATTTTCTGTTTTAGGTTGTAATTGTAAAAACTTTAAGATTTCTTACCTCTGTATATATTAAAAATCTTAAGTGCTTTAGGTCTTTATTATGGTGATTTCCCGTGCCTCT